TCTTTTATTGATCACCGGTGATGTTTTTGAACAGGAATCTAATCATTTATTATGTGTTCATTTAAGATTCAACTAACATTAAAAATCAGCCAACCTTATGATTATGAGATCTTAAACTTTAATTTACAATGTATTTTTTTTTATCTGTTTATAAGATTAAAATAAAAGTGATATTATGGATACATCCTTTTTCACAAAAAATTTAACATACCGATTTTTGACATCTTCAACAACTATTTTTAAGCTGAGGTTGCCATCACGAACACAAGTTGTATTTTAACATCTCAAAAAACTGTATACCATCAGGTGTTCATTATATACCAGCAACAAATTTTGAATTAGAGCAAATTCATTCTCTTCCTATGCGCTAGTATGTAACATTAATTTATTCTATTCATCTCATTTTAATTTACCTCTCCACATACACAAGACATTTGCTGCCCCTAATTATGATGTAGAGAAAAATCAAAATATATTACTGAATGTAGATGATTATTGCACTGTCTCCACCATCCACTTCAGATGATAAATTATTACTGCCATTCGGCTCTGTATAATTTCTGAGTACGAATAAGAGTATTTATTTGGTAGTCACGTTTTATTGTTTATCTTGCATTTTTAGAATTTTTTCAATCACATTTGTATAGATTATATTTTTGCACTTCTGTAGTGTATCTTAAATTTAAATAAATGATTTTAAAAAATTTATTCTAAATGATATAGCTTTTACTTGCCAATTTTATTTTCATTGAAGTATTGAAGAGAAAATAAATTTCTTAGACAAGCTAAGAAATCCTGTGTTGTCTATTCTTTTACTTTCATAATATTTGTATATCATGAGGGTTGGTTAGCATGGATCAACAAATATGGAATAACTGTGCTGTCATTTTGGGCTAAATTCACATTACTGTATTCAGGTGGGGGAATAATGAGTGCAGGTTGTAATTGCTAGTCTAGCAGATAATGTGTATAAATATAGTCAAACTTAACACATTTTTTCTTGATGTGTTGTTAAAAACCAGAAGTAACTAAAATACATAATCAAGGATAATCATTTATTTAACTTGTTGGAATGGTTATGCATATTAAATGAAATCTATACACAACAAGTGCTGACAATCATGCACTATTGGACACTCAAACCAATTCTGAAACTACCTGCTGTAAAACATTTGTGTAACACCAAAATTCCAATGTTTGACCTTCTGAACAAATTCAAAATATTTTTTATAAATACTTCACTTCTTTTTAAAAATTGTATTATGTAATGATCAAGCCATGAAAAAAACCAAAAGGTAAATGAAAATAATAATAAATTTGAAGACTAATAATAACAAAAACTTCTTAAATAACATACCACCCAACATGCAAGCATCAGCAAATATTACTACAATGCACAAGATCTTGAAATTGGTCCATTGATAGCGATACCAAAAAGGTATTACTACCATTCATAAAAATCATCCAACAAAAAAATGTATTGCACTAACATGAATTTAACAAGAAATAACATTCAAAAGTAAAACTTAGCAACCAAAAATTGTAATTATATATATACATTTTATATACTGTCAGGAAAATTATGTTGGCACACAGACTATTAGCATTTCTCAAAATGAGAAAGTATCAGTTTAACTTTTGTTTCAATTTTTTTTCAACATTGACAACAAAAGTAGCTATGTGGCATGAAAATTTCAACTAAATGTACTGTTACAGTGGGGAAAAAAACATTCATGGAATTTCAACCAGCAGTAACAGCTCTGCGTTCATGCCTGACATTTGATTTGATCTTCCTTATGTCATCCTTGCTGATAGCTGAAAGTAAACAAATAAGAAAATTATTAGATGCAGAATGCAGGATTGCTCACTTTAAAATGGGTACAAGCTAAAAACACAAAAAGTTAAAATAAAAATCACGCCAACGTGGTGACAACACATTTTGGAACGCTTAAAATAGATTTATTTTTTTATCAATTGCTGGCTACATTACATTTTAAAAACTGAAAACTCTCTTATACAATATTCTACAAAAACATTTCTAAACTAAATTATGTGAACTATTAAAACTTTGTATACATATAAACAATGAATAGGGAAAATTCACTTACATGATTTTAGGACATCACCTAGCAAACCAAGGCAACCCACTGCAAACACCAGGAACATTGCGTAGACAATGCAGGCCACAAAGCACAGAAAACCTTTGTCCTGGAAGCAATGATTCAGCTTAAATGGTGGACTCCACAGGTTAGACTGGATGCTGTTGCTCCGCGAGTAGTTATTGTTTTTGTCTATTGTCCCATGGTGCCTTGCAGATCGTGGTGTGATTCTTGAAGAGCCTGCAGGTGAGTTCTCAGACTCGCTGCTGTTATTACTCGTGGTGCTAATTAATCTGTCCATTCTCCGAGAAATTCTCCTTTCAGAAATGTTTTTAAGTAAACTAATGCTTGTCCTTCTATTGTTTGTGTTGGCCACACTAGAATCAACAACTGTTTTTCTTACAACAATGTCTGAGTTGAGATCATGAATATCACTTGTTTCTGAGGAATGTGAATCACAGGAGCAAAAAGACAGCTCAGAAATATCGTCTTTCTCTTCATTGTCTGAGCTGTTGAATCCGCTGTCATCATAAATGCACTCCCTGCTACTTTTGTGTCTGACCCGCCGACAGATCTCAAGTTCATCATAGTCATTGCTGTCAGAAAACTCCAGGCATTCGTCTTCTGAGTTTTGATGCTGTAAGACTTTGCCTGTTGGCACTGCAGACGCCTGATCGCAGTTTACAGGCGGACTGATGTTGTGTGCACAACAATCACCAGCTTCGGTGGTGACAGTCTGTTTGCAAAGTCCTGCATCAACTGTTGAAGATTCTTGATTCATGTCGCTAGTTGATTGGTACGACTGGTAGCTGGGTAAAGTATCAACTGAACAAAATCCAATGTCCAACAGGAAAAATATAGTCTGTAATCACAGCTTGATTTGTAATCTGGGACTACTTATCTCAAATTATATCTGTAGATAAAATAAAAAAATTAATTTAATTTTTCAACATTTTCACAAAGTTTATAAAATCAGCCAATATTGTAGAATTCCATAATACAACAGAGTAGAACAGTTTCTAATATAAATTTATGGTTTTGTTTTTACTCTTATTTATGACAATTATCGCAGTACGCTCAGATTTTTCTCAGACATTTTAAAGAATGTTTACGACCAGTCTGACATGACTATATATAAACCCAGCTAAACCAATTGTCCTTGACATACAATGCTATAGTACATGCTGCCTTGAGAGTATTAAATTAAAGATGATAGCCATACACAGAAAAACAAGGCCAAAAGACAAGCTCAGCATGGATTACAATAAAAATGGAATTTGGACTTTATACCCCGCAATATTTTACATTGTAAACAGTTACTGAATCTGTTAATAAAGAATTAATAATGTAAAATAAAGAAATGTATTTCTAATAATACAACTGATATATGATAAAAATGGTTGTATGTGGTGAGAAACCTTTTAAAAATATACATTTAGTTTTCATTGATTCTAAATATAACTCTTGAGTATCATTTAAAAGATTTGTTTGTAAAACAGCCAATTATGGAACACCCTTATGAGTTAGCATTCAATTTATTTACAATACGGACATCAGGTGGTCTAAAATAAAACTTGGCCTGGAAAAAAATTATGTGCATTACAAGCTTTGGCCTAGAACAGCATGACAAGCCAGCTATGCACATGTGACCTTGAAAAGTACAACATCAGAATAGACTAGCAGCTCGTGGGCTGGAAAAGTACAAGTCTACTTTAGAACTTTGTTATCTTTGGCCAGCAAGTAGGACATGGTTGTAACAGCTAAGCACCACATATTGAATAATTATTTCTAGTATTCTTGAGGACAGATAAATAAAACATGCATAACTAAAACAATTTCATCCCTAAAACATGCACAACTAAATCAATTCTATTCCTAAAACATGGACAACCAAAACAATTCTATTCCTAAAACATGGACAACCAAAACAATTATCCTTAAGACATGGAAAACTAAAATAATTTTATCCTTAAAACATGCAAAACTAAAACAATTTTTTTTCACTTTATTAACTTTTCAGCCACCTTTTCAGTAGTAAGAATAAGAATTTTTTTTTTTAAACAGCACTTTTGTTAAGAGTTACATTCCAGCAGAAAAACCAGAGAAATGTCAATTATAAAGTATAATGGGTTTTCATTAGTAGTTGAATTTTAAAAAGTTTATTCACCCTTTTTCATTACTATTAGTAAGAGATTTTTAAACTTTTTTTTTAGAAAAACTGTACTTTTGTCAGTAAGTCAAATAGTGTTTAAACAGATGTAAGGTATTAAGGAATGTTAAGACATTTCACACTTTGGGGGGGGGGGGGGGGGCTTTCCTTTAATATTTCAGCAGAAAAACTAGACAAATAGTAATGTGCAAAGTAACAAATGTGTGTGACAATTAGTGGAGGTGATTATCCAAAGTATGAGGTCCTTTGAGGACAACCCTATACATATTCTGCTAGCTGCATGTGGAGATGAGTAAAGCAAATACCACCATTACTCCACCAGTCCCAACAAGCAGTAATGACATGTATTATCTAATAATTCACAAGAATAGTTGTTATAGATACCCATGGATGTAAGTAATGGGAGGGAGGTAAAGGCCAGCTTGCCAGTTTGATTGATAGTCTCAGCAAGGCATGCTGGGAGGTGACCTAGTGCTTATACTGATATGATCTTAAAGGGTTAAGTTTATCTTTCTATAAACAGAATTGTTGTTTTAACAAACGCAGCTAAGTGTCAAGTGAACAGTTTCCAACAAAACTGAACAACAGATTATGTGAAAATGGACCATTAGTAACTTTGATTAACGTTTTTTCTCAAACCACTGACATATATAAAGGATGTTTTAGGCCTATAGATTAAACAAATATAAATGTGAACATTTATTTCACATCCAAACCTAAACTAATTTTACACAACACCATTGCAAGATTATGTGGCAGTACTGGACCAACCTGTAACTGAAGTGAATATGAACCCCTGCCGCCTTAATAGTAAAAAAAAATAGAAGAAATTTAAAAAACTATCAATCACAGAAAAACACTAAAATTTACTATCATAGGGCCTAATCATATAGGCCTAATATTGGACTAAATTGTAATAGGCCTATAGAATAGATTACTGAATCATTACTGTAATAATTAATAGATCTATAATGAAATGAATAGGCTAGAAAGAAGTTTATAGAAGTGTGTTATTTTTTAAGAAAGTGTGTAGACCTATGTCCTAGCCTATAATCCCTATATCTGAGTATATCAGTCAGTAATCAGTAAACTGAAGATTAATAAAAATAATATTAAATTAATGTAGGCCCCTAGGCCTAATTACAAATAAGACTAATCACTAGTAGATCTAGAATCTAGATCTAATTACTAATTAGTGTAGTGGCCAGAAAATTGCCTTAGATGTTTACAATTTTTACAACAGGCGGCATCAACACATAACAAAAACAATCATTCCAAAAATGAAAAATCCAAATGAATAATAAATGTCTAATAAATGAGGCAAACAAAAATGCAACCCAGAACCCACCACACCAAACAAATATCAATGTGACAAAATCGTAAATGCATGCTCATTCCTCATGCCGTGCTGCCTGATTTCTAGGTCTATGAATATAACTTACCAGCAATGCTAGACTTGGAATTGAATCTGGAACAAACATCTTGGTTTGAAAAGCATAAATCTGAAAAGCGCCCCAGCTTCGAAGTCTTAAGTATGCTCACAGCTTGGGTTCACCAACGTTCTTTATCTTCTACACGGGTGTTTACACGATTTGTTCACGAGTCCACCACGACCGGGAGTTTCCGAACCCAAGGTCGGTGACCTTGCATAAAATATAAACATTTTACAATCATTCCGCCAACATAGTCCAAAGTCCATCGGCAGCCAATCCCCGAAGAAAGAAAATGTCAGAATGAGGTTGCTTGCAGTTTGATCCAATTAGAAACCATTTATTTTTAGATCTATTCGTAAATATATCCTCACTAAACTAGAGGAAAACTACTAGAAACATTGGCCTTGACTATTGTTATGTAATACGTTGACCAGGAGAGGTATTCTAAATAAGAAGCGTGCAATCTGATGGAACTTTTGTGTACTTCAGTGTCAAGATAATTTTGCAGATAACGTGTCCCCGTTAAGGCCGGTAAAATAAATTGATTGTCTGCAAGATCGAGGGTCGTATGCAGCCATACATAGCTTACAAGAAGAAATATTAGATATCTTCAACTAATTGTTATGCACTTTGTTGGAAAACCTGTTGTTATTATTTTTTAATGGCATGAGGGAGCGCACGAAAATGACGTTATACTCCTTGGTGGTTGAGGTTCGGACTTGAGGTCTGAAGGGGGACGGAGGTAAAAAAAAAAAAATTGTAGCAGTAATGTAATGCATTATTTTAAAAAGGGAGATTTTTTAAAAGATGAATTGGAAATGACAATATGTTATCTTTTTAAAGACTTTTCTAAAAATTGTAATAATTAACCATTTTTCTACTGACCCACTAAGTTAACATTTTAGAAATAATTTTAAATCGTTTTTTATTTTCTTGTAGATCTATACGAGGTAGGCCCTATAGAGAAAGTATTGTAATCGTGCAGAAAAAAAAATCGAGATTTGCAACGTTTTACACCTCCCTGAGTCGGAAAAACATAGTTTTGCAATCCTGTCCATATGTCTGTGTGTGTATGTGTCTGTGAGCACGATAACTTGAGTACAGTTACAGCTAGGTTGAGGAAATTTCATATATATAAGTATTATATTAAATTTGTAGATCTGTATCAACTTTTCGGTGATTTCCGATAACCGGAAATGAAACTTTTTCTACTTTGAATATTTCAAAAGCCTATAACTTGATTACTATTTCAGTTAGATAAATGAAATTTCACATATAAGTAAAGGATCTAATTCTCTGTCAAATTTTGAGTAATTTCCGTTGTCCGGAAGTAGTAATTTACGCTATTTCCGATTGCTCAAAAAACGCATGTGAATTTATAAAGTACTAATAATATTCCGCACTATTATACACATTTTGTTAGGCGTTCCCTTGGTGCGCAATTCTTTTTTCTACGAGATTCTATTCTATTTTTAAAAAGTTTAAGTAATTAAAAATGGATTTAAAATATTGTCTATATCTCGAGTTGCCACCCCCCCCCCCCCCCGTAGTGTTATAATATAAGAATATTCGAGAAAGTTTAGGGGACATCACTCCCGGTTTATTTTTAAATGCAATTTGGGGCGAGGGAAGGCTTAATTAACTGTGCTGGCATTTAAGAGAAGAAAAATGTGGGTCTTTCATAATTATGTTCAATATATTGTCATAATGTAACCACCCAGATCTAAGAATTAAATGTTTATCAATACTGGTAATATGAAACCCTGTTTCAAGTGACAAACGCCTATTATAGGACGAAAGCGCGCAAATCAGGAACTGACTGCGTAGGCTACGTATTACTAAAATTTATTTCGGACCTTACTTCTTCTTCTTCTTCTTCGTTCTTAATTATTAGTGTTGAAGGTGATCGAGAATTATCTGCCAGTGCGTTTGAACTCGAGACTTTGTTCAAATTTATCAACCATGAGCTTTTTGCCGACTCGACCACGCCTCCAACACAATTAAGCGTTACGTGTCAACTGGTTATGCGCCATTGAGGCCATTGACTCCGATTTCAGCCTGCTTTTCTTTTTGGATTTGCTTCCATAGCCTTTATCCAACCAAGAACAAACTACAAGGCAGCAGTTGTTTAATTTTGGAGTTGTCTCTCCTAGAAGAGTGGCTGTCCCCAGCTAACGAGCCTCATCTGCCCGGGGGTTCAAACTCGAGACTTTTCGGTTTAGCAACCATGAGCTTTACCGACTCGACCACGCCGACCCCTGGACCTTACTAAATCGGCCTATTGACGACACCGAAAATAAGATAATAAAAAACCTTTTAAACTTTGACCTTTATTTTTAAAAAATCTATTAACTTTACAAACACAAACAACATAACGATGGCTCACCCAGGTTATAAATAGCTACATGTAATTTTTGTCTATGTGGGGGCGACGGGAAGAACACTAGTGCTACTGTTGTTATAAAAAATGTGGACTTTGAACCGGGCTTGACTGAAGACTGAGGTGACATTAGACCAAAGACTAGCTGACAGATCAGTGACCCGAACATCCGACTAGAAATTAGACGTCTCGACATGAAAGTTCAATGTTTATCTGTTTGAGATTTGTCAAAACATTTTTTCGATTATGTGATTTCCGTCACGTTCATTGATTATTATAATTTAGTTTATAGTGGGCCTACGATAGTAGTTCTCAAATAAAAATATTTTGATGCAATTATAGTGTGGAATAGTTTTTTTAAAAATGGGATTGACAGTAATGTAGCCTACTTCAAGAATAATTTCGCTGCTTTAATGGGTTTTAATTTTTGTTAAATCTAATGCTGCTATGTTTGTCCGCACATAAGTCCGTTCTCCCGCCCTTTCGTCCGCTGTTTTGTCCGTTTGTCCGTCTGTCTGTCCGCCCGTCTGTCTGTCTGTCATTGTATCTCTTTCTTTATTGTACTTTCAAGTGCTCCCCCCCCCCCCCCGGGAGAAAAAAAGCCTGGAAGAAACACTGGTTCCAGGTGGTTAATATAATTATGTTGTAAACTATATCGTAGAGTTTCTCAAGGCATCCCCCCAGTGAAGAAAGTCTACCCCCCCCCCCCCCGAACGAAATGGAATTTATATAGAAAATATATTCTTTTTTTACCAGTGTCCGTCGCCCCCCCCCCCGGAAAATGTATACCGTACCCCCCCCCCCCCCCCCCCCAATATCAAGTGCCCCCCTCCGGAGAAAAAAGTCTAAAAGAAAAGATAAACTGTATATCGGCTAGATAGGGGCTATATATAATGTAATATAATATCTAACTAATAGTATAGGCATAATACTTTTGATTTTCTTTATCAATTTAGCCTTTCAGAATGGTTCGATGCATAAACTGGCGAGCTACATTTCTCATTGAATCCCAAATCGAACTAAGACTTTACATCAGATTGAAATGAAGACGAACTGCTCATTTTCTTTTTAAAAAATGTCATAGAAATATTATGGGCGTGGTGGGGGCTATGGAAATGCCAAGTAACGTGTTATTAGCAAGGCGTAGGTAAAATGACAGATTGTTTTCTTTTAATATTTAATGTGTTCTGCCGTTTATTATTTCTATAACGGAATTTTGCTCCGATACACAATAAGTACTTCGTGTACATAAGAAACAACTATTTGATGCTCACAAACCAAGTCATCGTGTCTATGGGGCAAATGAAGTAGAGTTCACTTGTTTCTGTGACCTCGGCATATGAAGGTATAGTGTGGTCAACACTATGCCCAGCCGCCTTTACTTTCCCTAATGTGAGTTAGGTACCCATCAGAGTTGGGTGGACCCGAGACTTACGGGTTAGCAGTCGAGCTCTCTACCGCTAGACCAATCCGTCCCATAACGTGTACCCATACCACTAAACAAAATTTTATTTACTACCTGTCTACCACTACCATTCTAGTCTACCACTACCATTCTACTGACCCTGAGCTTTCAGTAACTTTTGTATTGTGGGGCGTTTTGTTCCACACCGGGTGACACCGTGGAAGGGGAGGGGGTGATACAAAAAAATTACTGGCAAAACGACGCTTTATCCAGATAAAATAATAAAATAGGAGGGAGAGGGGTGAAACCAACCCGAAAATGCTAAATTGTTGGAGGGGTGGGGGTGACACCGGATGACACCCGACCCGATGAAGCCACTGGGTAGCAATGTGAGAATAAACACAGAATTCTGAAAATAAATCTATAAACGAATGCATTTATAGTTGTAGTTTATAAAGTAAGTTAAAATCTGTCCGTTTAAACCGTTGTTTCGACAGATAAAAAAAAAATGTTATATCTTGTCATTTCTGTTATACTAACTCTTCCATCAACGTTTCTCATAAAGTAGCCTGTGTTTATTGTTTTCTGGATATGAGTGGTACTGTAGGGTAGACACACGTAGGATCGTATAGCACAACCTTGTTCGTTTATCTAAGGGGTCATCCATAAACGACGTCATGCTTTTTTGACGCTTTTTACCCCCCCCCCCTCCCATCCGTCACACTGTCACAAAATGCCAGACCCCGCCCTAAAATGACGTCACATGTCAGCCTATAACCCCCGTCAAAATTGTTTCTTAAAACATCGATATTTTTCCAAAATCTTGTCAAAACTCTGTCAATATAGAGTACGAGCCGACCCGCTGCGTATCATACGCCGCTATTTAGTTGTTTTTTTTTTCTACTTTTCAGTAATTTATAATTTGTGAATTCGACAGCACCAATGCTGCCACTGAAAATATCTGCTTAAAAACACTAACCCCCCCCCCTCCCCCACGTGAAAGCAGCCTCCTCTTAGTTACCTCCTCTAAGTTTAAAATCGTTTCAAACTAAATTATCTGCCCCTAATAGCCGTCACCAAACCCGTCTCTATGATTGTAAAATGTAAACAGCGTGACCACAGCTCACCAGACAATGTGGGGGTGGGGTGGTAGTGATAGTGATAGTGATAGAGAGAAAGAGAGGGGACTGCAAGGAGGCGCTTGCAGCTTGTTTTCTAACGGCTCCCAGAAGAGAATTATATATATATAGATAGATTTTAATCAATTCCTATTACAATTTATTAAAACAGTTTTCTAAAACGCAAAATCACGTCTAAAATTCGTTTTCTAGCATTGCTTTTTATAATGCAAAAGTGTGACGTCATACCATCTGAACCCCCCCTCCCCTCATTACACATTGTCACAAAA